CCTGGAACATCTCAAGTGTTGCATCACACAATTTCCGCTTTTCCAATAAAGTGAATAAATAAAATGACTGATTTGTCCTTTAGAACAGAATAGATTCATTGTTTTATTGTGTTTGTGTGAAAGGCAGAAGAGAAAAGCAGCGAGACGCCAATCGATGATGACTGTAGATAATGGGAGTGTGAAACTTTGCGCAAACTGTGTAAGTTGAAGAAATAAGGCAGGGGGGAAGGTGTTATGTGTGTTTTTGCCTCTCTCTCCTCTCTTGACGAACAGACCAGCAAACTGGACACAAACAGGTTTCGTTGATTTTTATCTGACTTCACATCCCCGGAGGAGGAGGATGCTGAAATCTTTGCGACTCTGTCACATTGCACAGCCCTCCCTCCGCTGGCTGCTGTCATCTGTTCCTCTGTGTAGCAATAAAACAAAGATTTGGAGACAAATGAAAGGGAGAGAAGATGACATGACATGACTGGGTTGGAGCTGACGCTGCCAAACTTACGTGAATAGAAACAGCAGGGGATGCTGAGTCACTCTGCTTGCTTATATAGAAAAGACTTTATTCTGCAGATTTAAACACGCAGCATCCACCCGAAAGATAAAGATTCTCCTCTGCAAAGTAAATATATAAACGCTCACTCAGTCTGCAGTCTTTGCATTTATATAAGAGCTGCAGTTTCCTCTACCCACTGATGTATTTCCAGCTCAGTTACATCTCCTAATCACAATCCATTATTTGTAATTAATATGGATTTAATGACTGAAAATGTCCCTTCACATCCCGACCTCTGATATGCGCCCATGTCATCTGAAAAATCTTTAAAGACGTAAACTAATTAAGACCTAATTAGCATCCATTTCCCTCGTCAATGCTACTGAATCCATACTGAATGCTAATAGTGTTGTTTTTCAGAGTTATAAATGTTTCGTTGGCTTCAGTTTTAATTATTTACGATTATTGAAGGACCCGGGAGTATTTTCCTGCAGATGAACTACGTCTGCTTCGCCCTTCTTATAAGAGGGTCAAGTTTAAAATGAAATAAAAGCAGCTGATGCGGCTTTGTTAGCGAAAACGCATTATGATCTAATCCTAAAATCAATTTATTCATTCATTTCTATCAGTGAGTAATTTTGTATTGAATATATTTTGAAAAGATGAATATTTTCTGGTGTTTTTTTGAAACAATAAACAAAATCCAGTAATGCATCACAGCCTCTAATTAAAATTGAATTAATGGTTCTGGTTTTTGTCCTGCAACCTTCAGCGTGTGAGCCCCATCCTCCTGATCAGCCTCCAAACAAACTCTTATCAGTGTTACTGGAGCATCTGAGGGTCATTAATCAACAGAATACTCAAAGTACCAGCGCACAACGGTTGTTCGTTTTACTTCATTTAAACTTTCCTCAGCTCTTAAATCACAGTCTTTGATTTAGGAAATTTGCCTTAATGGATGAAGCAGCTTTGAAAAAGAGAAGCGTGGAGAGAGAGAGGGGGCGACGCTCGCTCGCCTAATCATGTTGGATAATTACCTGGTCCTACAATGAGTGTGAAGAGGACTGTACCCTCTGTAAATGGGTCATGCACTTACGGCCAGTGAAAGTTAAAATTCATGTAATGACCAGCTTTGACGGCGGTCCTTTTGTCCACTGACGCCCCTTTTTGTTTGCAGCGCTCACAACCTGAATTTCAACCAGCACTTACTTTTGCTAGATTATGTAAAACGTTTCAGCGCTGCTGCTTCTCAGGTAGTAATTAAATCGTTTCTAAATGCGGTGTTTGTTTCATTTTGATAATTATACGGTGGTAATTGTTCTTATTTTTATTCAGGAACATTTCACAAAAGAAGAATCGTGTCGGCGTGAGCTTGAAATGTAATCCCAGAGCAAAGCAGGTGAAATCCTGCGGCTACATTAAAATGAAAAATATATAAAGATACTAGGAATAAAATTATGTTGAAAGATTAAAGTCCTCATATTATCCTTTAGAATGACTTAATTTTGTAGTAATTTGACTGTAGTTAGGGCTGGGCAATACACTGAAAATTTACCGATACAGAAATTTATGACAATAACCGACGTCATTTTGCCCATATCGGAATATTCGGTGTCAAAAAAATAGATTAATAAAAGTTAGTTTTGGATGTGTGTCGGTAGGCTATGGTCTCATGTCCTTTTTAAGATGCTGTCCTACGTCAGAGCTGTGACTCCACCCCATCCAGTCAGTAACAAAGAGGGAAAGACAGGTGAGGAGATGGAGGACGGTTCAAACGTTGTAGCGGCTGAAGTAGACGAAGTTAATGTGGGAGGGGGTGAGCAGCTTGTGGAGTAGTTATCGTCTATTTATCGTTATCAAGTGAACTGATCAACATATCGTGATCTATATTTGAGGCCATATCGCCCAGCCCTAACTGTAATCATATCAGAAAATGACTTTATGACAACTGTATTCGTGATTATTTTCTGAAACAAACTTTTTCTTGTGCTTTACAGCTTTTTTTTCTTACAAGTTCATCCTCATAAAATAACAGTTTCGTTCTTGAAATCTTGAAAACTCTTTAATGTGGCCCTCATACACCATCGTCAGTTTCTACTCCGCTGTAATGTCGACAAAGTTGGTACCTAGCCTGATTTTATTTCATCATTTTTTGCTGAAGGGCTGAAAACGTCAAAATGCACCAGTGTTGCAACGGAAGCAGGCGATTCTAGCGAGAAAATGACATCAGCAGACTCTGAGTATGAAACGAAGGTGAGTCTCAGAAGTTTTCTGATTGAAAGCGTTAAATGATTTCACTTAAAAGATCGGATTTCGTAGAAACCATAAGACAGCATCTTTACCCAGTCTACTTACAGGCTTACGTGTGATTTCTTTCACTGCAGCTGCACATGATGATTATGAATGAGTTTGCATGATTCATGAGAATTTGTTTACCTGGTTTTATCAGGACAAGCAAAATTAGCCGCCATGGCAACAGGAAATTTCTTTCTACCTGATCAGTCGGACACTGAGCAGGAAACAGGTGAATTGAGGTAACCATTATTTCTACAGTGTTTAACAATAAAACAACAATAATGTAGTCAAAAGAGAATTGGTTAAAGTTAGGTATCGGAAATTGATTAGTTTGATCTTTTTTTAATCCCAGTTTGTATTTGAAGTAATTTTTCTACCTTACTTGTAAATTCTTTTTTTATTTCTTTTTTAAACCCAAAATAATCAGTCATGTCGTCTTTGTGTAGAGTTTAAAACTTGAAAAAGTGACACAGAGAGGCGCTGCTGAGGTGGCAGATTGATTTATTGACGTCTGCAGCAGTGATTCACAGAAGATACAGTGATCAAGCAAACACCGTCATATTAATGCACATGAATCAAATTCACGGCAAAGCCTTCAACAGAAAAATCACATGCCGTTTTACAACATTTTTTCTGCATGTTAGAAATACGTCTCAGGTTTTAGAAAGGCGTAAATAAATAAGGCAATATTGAAAAAAGCAGTTACCCACATCTAGATACTGTGTGAAATACTGTCACAGAGGGTACGGTTGCTCTTTACATCACAGTGCAACATATTTAAGGCAACACAACACATAGATAAAAATACATTCAGTAAATCTGTCCTGTTATGTAATCATGATGAAAAATAGATCTCTTTATTTTCACACGTACATGCTGAGAGTGAGGATGACCCACGTGTGCAAATTTACACTAATATCTACACCAATACAAATCACTAAAGCTCTGAGGTGAAGTCAGCAGATGTCAAAGTTGGACTGAAAGAGACGTCGTGAAGTTTCCTCTCCAAAAATAACGATCTGAGCTAAAATAAAAGTGTCTTTCAGTCAGTCTCTGGGTTATAATGGGTTTTCTGCATCTCTGCTTCATGGAGGATAAAAAAACAGCATGGAGTAAATTTGTGATCATGAAGCCAAAAGCAGGGGAGAAAATGAAAAAAACACAAAGGTAGGTTTAACTGCTTTCACATCTGTCTAAAGATGTGTCACATGCAGAGAGGCTTCAGTGCCATCCTCAGTTTTTCCTCAAAGCTTTTATTTCAACTTCAGAAAGCTGTTTTTCAAGGATGAATGTTTATTAAGTGTTTCTACTTCAAATATGAGGCTTTTGATTACCCTATTTTACCTACTAAGGCCTTAAGTGGAAAATCATACAATAAAAGAGTACTTTTTTAAAATTTGTGCTCTTATTTTACAACATATATGAGAGCTCTTCTCCTCCAGAAGCACCTCTTTCCTTTCAAGTAGCCTGTTGGTAACAAGTTTTCATGTGCTGCATGAACTCGATCAGAGATTTTTCCAAGTTTCTCCCTTTATTCCACCACCCACCTGGAGTATAACCTATCAGGACCAGCTGTGATTTCCTCTCACCCTGTGAAAAAGTCTGTGTTAGATTTTACTTTGCATTTAAATAAGAGTTTGTGCAAAAATAAAATGCATGTCTCCGTTTGCTTTGTGCCAGGTAGTCTCTGTCATGAGGTGGATTTCAGTGTCAAACATGGAGGTAGTCAGTCGTAACTAATCTAAATCCTTTTGTCCAGTGATAGAGAGAGTATGCACTGTGGCATTTGGGTTAGATTAAGTAGCAGCTGTGACATTCAAGTGGCGTGAATCACGTAGAAGCCTCGAAGAAAGCGTGGTTTTTGTGTTTCATCACAGTGGACAATAAGGAAAGTGTCGCAGGCTGGTGAATACGATTTAAGAGTGAGAAAAAAAAAGGTTGAAGCATGAGAATTCATTCAATTCATGCTGGCAACACTTACTTCAAATTGCACTTTTCACCAGCTTGATACAAAACAGCATTTTTGTGCAAGCGACACCTATCTTACAACCTCTTCAGCAACCTGACTCATGAAATCACAGGAGAGCAGCCTCTACTAGAGCGGCGCAGCAGAGCCACATCAGTCCACAATGATTACAGCTCACAGCCTCAAGTCCCGGTCTTCAAAGTTTCACTTTCGTTCGTGGTTTTTCTGACACCAAAGGGGGGCGGCTCACACGCACAAAAACGCATGTGAGCAGCAGAAGATCTCCTTGAAGGTTTTCCTCATCTCCTGACTGCGGAAAGCGTAGATGATGGGGTCGATGACGGAGTTGCACATGATGAGGATGAGGTACATGTTGAAGTGCGACATGAAGCAGGTGCAGTAGGGGTTCCTGGGGCAGGTGATCATGAGGATGAGGTGGAGGAAAAACGGCGCCCAGCACACCACGAACACCCCGAGAAGGATGGTGAGGGTGATGGCGCCCTTCATGTTGGCTCGCTGGTGGATTGGAGCGTTGCCCGGCAGAGCTGCGATGCGCTTCATGTGTAGACGTGCCAGCAGGAACATGTGTACGTAGAGCGACGCCATGAGCACCAGCATGGTGAAAAACATGGTGATGAGGCAGATTAGCACGGTGGTGCTCTCTGAGTAGATAATGAAGAGGATGCCGGAGACGATGCAGCACGTCCAGATGCTGCTGATGACCAGCATCGCTCTGCGCAAAGTCACGATGTTGTGATACCGAAGTGCGTAAAAGATAGTGATGTAACGATCAACAGCAATAGCTAGCAAGCTGCAGATGGAGGCTAGCAGAGAGCTGCAGATCATCGAGTCAAACACATTGTCCATGCTTTTGATCAACTTCACAGGGATTGTCAGGTTGCCTCCATTTATGAGCGCAATCACAATAGTCTCAGAGGCGTTGGAGACGCTCACAAGCATATCAGCAACAGCGAGGCTGCAGATAAAAAAGTACATGGGTGAGTGAAGGTTCTTGTTTTTGACAATAGCAGCGACCACCATGATGTTCTCCAGCAGGCTGACAATTCCCAGAGTGAGGAAAACCTCTGTGGAAATCAGCAGCTGTTCGTAACATCCTGCAGAAGAGTCCTTGTTGTCAGGAGGTAAGTCTTTGTTCAGTGGTGAAGTCCCCGAGGTTTGGTTCCTGTTCAGGTAGCCTTGGATCAATCCATGAAAGTCTGTGGCGTTCATGATTTCTTTACGTCTTCTTTTATTCTTCCTCACGTTTATTTGTCCATCTTCTTCTGCAGTATTTGATTCTCACAGACCCTCTGACATCTTCATTATCTACAGAAACACTTCAGAGACGCTTGAAAATCCTTTACGGTGACTATTCTCCCCTTGAACCCTGTCTTTCCTAATAAGTTGTCTTTAAACATCTGCTGCTGTTGTTACACGAAAACAATCCCAACTCTCTCCTCTCATTTTCCACTCTTGGCAAAAACTGAAAAAAGTAAGAAGTTGCTGAAAAATGCTCCTGCTCCTTAAATAATGAGTTGGAAAGAATAAAGAGGAAAAGGTGCAAACAGAGAGATGAAGTGAGAGTCTGGTCAGTAATAATGTGAGCGGCAGGGAGAGCAGTGTACTGTGACTGCAGGCAGATCATCACTTAGAGAGCCACTGTGGTCTTCCTCGCTCCCGCTCTGCTATTATACCAGACACACACACACTCACACGCATGTATCCCTGAACCCTCCCTGTAGTTTCCATCCTATCCGCTTGCTGATAAGGTGGGAGGAGGAGCGTTGACGCAAAAGTACAAGCAAATAAAAAATGAATTTTTAGACATTTAGTGCTTTTAACAGGGTTTCACCATCACTGAATCTTGCATGTAAATCAAAGCAAAATACAGAAATATTTATAATTTGGATTTTATTATAATCTATTGTATAATCAAGGAGATATTTCTGATCTCTTTGTCTAGACTTTGCAAATTGTATTTATAAAACCATGACAGATTTCCACATTTTTGTTCCTTGTAAAGACATGGATAGATTACAATTTTACAAGTATCAGCATTACATCAATTTGTTCAGCACTGCCATCAAAAGTAGCGTTCAGATTATTTATCAATGCCTTTCTCTGTCTATTTAAATCAGTCTAGGTCTGAATAACTATTTTAATCATTTTCAATTATGCCAAACAATTTTATCCCGTTTTAACGTATTTCACATCCCTCCTGGCCAACGGCTTTCTAAATTTAAAGGTTGCAGTTATTTTCAGATGTAAAAAAAGACCTTTTAAATTGCTCATGAAGTTAATACCAATAAGTACAGCACAATCATAATGATCCCTTGTGTCCTGAGATTAGTGGGAATGGTCTGTAATTATTTGAAGTCCATGACACCAGTCTGTTAGTCTCTGAATTCCATGGTATCAGTCTGTTATTCCTTGAATTCCATAGCAACAGTCTGTTATTTTCTGATTGCCATGGTAACGGTCTGCTATTTTTCAAATCCTGTGGTTATAATTTGTTGTTTTTAAATATCACGGCAAGGATTTTTGTTTCTTAAATTCCATATTAGTGGTCACTTAGTTATCTCTATAGCATCAGTCATTTCTTTTGTGGGCTCCTGGCCAACGGCTTTCTCAATTTAAAGGTTGCAGTTATTTTCAGATGTCCGTAATTATTTGAATTCCATAGCACCAGTCTGTTAGCCTCTGAATTTCATGATATCAGTCTGTTATCCCTTGATTTCCATAGCAACAGTCTGTTATTTTCTGATTGCCATGGTAACAGAGGGGTATATTTCAAATCCTGCGGTTGCAGTTTGTTGTTTTTGAATATTACGGCAAAGATTCTTGTTTCTTTTCTTAAAATCCATATTAATGGTCACTTATTAATTAATCTCTATAGCATCAGTCATTTCTTTTGTGGGCAGCAAACTGTTACCATGGTGAATAAACCATTGCTATTTTGGTAGTGCTTAGAGTAAACTAACTATAGATGCAGCTCATATACACAATCATACAGTTCTTACCCTGCACATGGTTGTCCCATGGGTTAGTAAACAGGGACAAAGTATAGAATGACTAATCCATGTTCAGCCCTGATCAACATGCTGTAACACAAGTCGCTGTCTCTGGAGGACTGTTTAACAAAAGATGCCAGCTTTAATGCTGATTGATAACCTTTTGTGAAAGGACAATGACTCTGATGGGACAAATGCACTGCAATCTAAAGTTCAGAGTTTTATGTAATAGTAGAGGCAGGGGAGCAATCAGAGTCACAGTGCAGTAATTCTTTGTGTGCGTGTGTGTGTGTGTATTTACGCTGATTACTTTGTCCTGATTGATGCTTGGACATTTGACTTGTTTCAGAAACACAAAATAGATCAGGACTCATGAATAATTTAAGATTTAAGGATCAGGGAAGTTCTCAGGTAGCCATAATATAAACATTATTTCAACTTAGTTATCAACTTTTTCATGTTGAAACTAAAATAAATACATACAGACGAATGTAGTTAATATGTATGCTTACCATGCTCCTATCATGCAGAGTGAGACAAGTGTCAAAAGTAATGCCATGAGGTCAGCCTTGCTATCTATTCAGTGGTGGTAGGCTTTTTTAAGTGCCACCATAAGGGTAAAATAAAATAACACAACAAAATAACTCTCACTGCATTAAAAAAAATAAAAAAATGATTCTGCCAGCAGAAATCATGAACAGGACCAGATGTATTAGTGGAACGCTTTCTGCCTAACTTGAACTCTCTTCACACTATGTACAGACCTAGACCATAGTCATGGCTGAGTTCAAATCCACAGATGAGCGTTTGACAACAGTGTTTCTTTTGTCCTGGGCAGAGCTAGATTCCTCGATGGATAGCTATCTGCCTTGACTGGATTATCATTGCACTGAACACAGATGCAGGTCGAAACCACCGTCATTATTATATTTTAGATAGAGATCGAATATTAATCCACTTTGAGCAAGTGTTTGGCAAACCTTAATGGGAAAAAAGGCCTTTTTATTGGCAGAAATCTTGGAGAGAATCAGACTTCTTCCGGGAACGGTATCTGCCTATTCTGGTTTGACATTTCACTTGACGCTCAGTGCAGGTCTGGACTGTACTCCTTGATCCATTCCTGAAAAAGGACTCACTATCAACTCACTGATTGAGCAAACACTAGGCAGCAACTGTATGCAAAAGCTACTTAAAAAGGCAGAAAACTCGAGCAGAACCAGAGTCATTGGTGGAAAGCTATCTACCTTAACATAAAAAAACGAACTATTTTGGTGCTTTTACCCTTCACACAACGTTTGTCCATCAATGAGCAAGATTTGGCAATAATGACTATGCTCACGGCAGAATCCTTAAACATACCCAGAATCATTGGTGGACAGCCATCTGCTTTGACTAGTTTATTATAGTTAACACCAAATGCAAATGAATAATCTACTCCTTGCTTTATAGTTTATAGAGAAACAGCATTTCAACTATGAGCGAGCACAAAGCAGCGATACTAGGAGAGAAAAATACCATCTGCCATGGCTGGACTGGCAGAGAAAATTGGATATATTGAGAGCCAACATCAAAGAGCCAACAGACTGTCAGAGACACAGCAGCAAGAACAACCGATGGTGCATGGCTTGTGGTAATAATACCAAGTAAAATGATAAAAAAACAATAAAAATTTGTGTGACAGGCAAATAAGCTTCAATTGTGCAGAAAAAGAAGTTTTCTGTTCCCTGCATCGCTCAGAAACAATCTGTTATTGTTTTTTAAATCTGCTGAATTATTGCAGTTCTCTTTTTTATTCTCCTCCACGACTGAAACGACTCAAATACTGTATCAAACTCAAAACACAGATAATATCTCAACAGCTTATCCCACTTCTCAGACACTCAGACTTCACTTTGAGATTACGGTCCTTGAGCTCAGACATCTATGACTCCAATTTCAGAGTCGCTTGGGTAAAAATTTGACAATTCGAAAAAGAATTTTGTGAAATCTTTATTTCTCGTTCAGAAATAGCGTGATTTTACAACAGCTAATTCACAGAGCAAGATGTTTCAGACAGCATTCATTTCAAAGGACTCATTTGTTTTCAAAGGTTATCAATCCATACAGCAGCAGAAAGCACAGAGACAATGTAGACTGGTGCAACTCACTGTATATACCGCAGTGGCATGTCCTAGTTTTTCAGTGTGAATCACAATGCCTCTTTTGAAAATACATGAAATAGTCCTTTAAAGTAGGAACATGCAGAAAATAATTCTTCTGCACTCTTCAAACACGTGAGTCGAGTGAATCGAGTCGTCAAAATGTTTCTTCTCGCATCTGCTTTCTGTTTATGTCATTACAAAACTTATCAAGTGCTCCTCAAACATAACGTGTCTATAAATGAAAGCAGCCGGTCCAACGTGACCGAGGCTATTGAACAGAAATCACACACAGGGCCACGTTTAATGAACTCTTGAGATTGTTGTTATTGCAGATGCTGCTTCGAGACTGCATTCAGAATGCATGCACCAAAAAGAATTCCCAGCTTTTATTAAGACCTCAGACTTGCAGATTACTTTCACGTGACTACAACTTTAAGATGGTTTGGATTTGTGTTGTTGTAGATGTGATAGGTTGATATATCTATATACCTTGATCATACCGTGAGTGCAGTCGCTTGTGTTGTACTGGAAAGTAGTTGAATTAAAACAACTCGGACTCCCTGGCTTCACTCTCAGAAGGTCAGACAGAGATGCTAAAGCTAGCGGTGAGATGAAAGGAGAAGGTCTGGCTTTATTTGTTGACCAGATATTGAACTATTGGCAGTCACCCTTCGGCCATATTATGTTCCAAGGGAGGTCAGTCACATCATAACAATACTTGTACTGTTAACAATATACCCAAGGCAACGGCTGAATTTCCGTGTGGTGTTCTCCATTATGCTGTTGCTAGGACACCGACTCAACATCCTGAGGCACTTGTAATAACATCAGGGGACTTCAACCATGTAGAGTCAACAGTCTTCTGTAGTATAACATAAAAGGATGCAAGGTGTCCGGACTAGACGATGAGGTTGAGGCTTCTCTAAAAAACATGGATCATCTACTTCATAACACCCTGATGGACGGCTGCTCTCTTCACTGCAGAACGAAGCGATTCAGAAGATCTTCTGTTCCCACAGATATCAAGAGTTCTTGATTCTTCTATAAATAGTAGATGAGATGAGACTCCAGACAAACG